GCCTCTCCCTAGCCTTACTTGGTTTCTCCCCCACACCCGTCGTCCAATTTCTGCTAACTCCCCCACACCCGTATTTCTCCCCTACCGCTTTTCCCCTACACTCTTCCCTGCAGATTTCTCCCTAGCCTTACTTGGTTTCTCCCCCACACCCGTCGTCCACTACCGATTTCTCCCCTACCGCTTTTCCCCTACACTCTTCCCTGCAGGCCTCTCCCCTAGCTTACTTGGTTTCTCCCCACACCCGTCGTCCAGATACATGCTTTTCCTCCTACGATTTCTCCCCTACCGCTGAGATATCCCGCGACTATATTTTTCGTACAACCTTCCCCTGCTGACTTCCCCTAGATCAGTCCCCTGCTGTTTCCCATTTACTCCCTTCTCCTACTGATTCCCCCCCCCCTTCTTCGACCTCTTTCTCCTCCCCCTTGCCGCCCCCTACTCCCATTCATTTCCCCCCTAGTTCCTACCTACCTTCCCCCTACATCTCCTCCTATTTTACCCACTTCTTGCCCTCGATTCCTCTCCCTTCCTCCCCCTCTCCCCTCCTCCCCCCTCACTCCTACCCCTCCCCCTCTTCAACAGACGCAACAGACATGGTCGTTATAATCATACTGAGGGGAGGGGGCGGGGAGGGGGGCGGGGAGGGGGACGGGGTGGGGGTATAAAGGGGCCAGATATGAAACTCATTTGTAAACACTACTGACACATAAACCTATTTAAATGCACACGCACACACAACGCACACAAACAAAAACTATCATACGTAAGTGTTTTGCTTGTGTATGTTGTGTGTTTGTGTATTGTGTGTGTGTATGTGTGTGTGTGTGTGTGTGTTGTGTGTGTATGTGTGTGTGTGTGTGTGTGTGTGTGTGTGTGTGTGTGTGTGTGTGTGTGTGTGTGTGTGTGTGTGTGTGTGTGTGTGTGTGTGTGTGTGGTGTGTGTGTGTGTGTGTTGTGTGTGTGTGTGTGTGTGTGTATGTATGTGTGTATTAATGTATATATGGTTATAAGTATGTATCTATAATACTTGGACTGTATGTGTGGTATGACAATGCATGCAATTAAGTATATGCAGTGTGTATATAATATAACATAATATTATATAAAAACATATGTGTGTATGTGTGTATGTGTGTGTGTGTGTATGTGTATGTATGTATGTGTGTGTGTGTAAGTATGTGTGTTGTGTGTTGTGTGTGTGTGTGTGTGTGTGTGTGTGTGTGTGTGTGTGTGTGTGTGTGTGTGTGTGTGTGTGTGTGTGTGTGTGTGTATGTGTGTGTATGTGTGTGTGTGTGTGTGTGTGTGTAATGTGTATGTGTGTTGGTGTGTGTGTGTGTGCGTATGTGCGTGTGTGTCTAGAGGTCAACGCAGCGTCGCATCAAGGTATAAACACAGCTAAGAATTCAAGCTCAGCGAAAAAGCTAATGCTGATGAAAAGACGAACTTAATATAATATGCAAATCAGCCTGAGCAGCACGTAGCAGAAAATACCTTGCCGTAAGGAAGGGTGTCTTGGGGGCTTGTGACATGCGCAGGAGAAGGAGGAGGAGGAGGAGGAGGAGGAGGAGGAGGAGGAGGAGGAGGAGGTGGAAGAGGAGGAGGTGGTGGAGAGGAGGAGGAGGAGGAGGAGGAGGAGGAGGAGGAGGAGGGGGAGAAGGAGGAGGGGAAGGAGGTGGTGGAGCGAGGGGAGGAGAAGGAGGAGGAGGAGGAGGAGGAGGAGGAGGAGGAGGAGGAGGCAGGAGGAGGAGGAGGGAGGAGAGGAGGAGGAGAGGAGGAGAGGAGGTGGTGAGGAGGAGGAGGAAGGAGGAGGAGGAGGAAGGGAAGGAGGAGAGGGAGGAGGAGGAGGTGGAGAGGAGGAAGTGACAGGGGAGGTGGAGAGGAGGAGGAGGAGAGGAGGAGGAGAGGAGGTGGAGAGGGAGAAGGGAAGAGGGGAGGAGGAGGGAGGAGGAGGACACTGAGGAGGGTGGAACAGGAGGAATACTGGTGTAACCTCAACTGCTGTGGCGACACACACACACACACACACACACACACACACACACACACACACACACACACACACACACACACACACACAACGCAAATACCACACGTCTTCTGTCACAACCCTAGTTAGAGACATACCCACACATACATTTCTCTACAAAATATTCAAGCACGGAGGGTGTGTGTGTGTGTGCATATGCTCGTGTGTACAGCTGTGTGTGTGTGTGTGTGTTTGCGTGCACGTGTGTGTGTGTGCGTGTGCATTATATATTTCTAAAAAATAACTATAATAAATTTAACCCAAAAAGAAATTAATTAAGAGAGAACTCGATTCTGCTCCGTCAAAAAAAAAAAAAAAAAAAAAAAAAAAGTAAGCTACATGAGTACAAAGTTTGCAAAGTAATAAGTACCACAAGAAAAAAAAATCTTAGTACAATGACAGAAAGAAAGGAAGGAAGGAGAGTGAAATACGAGTGCAGGCGTGAAGAAAGAAAGAGAAAAATTACCCTCTCCAATCTTTTATCTGTTTCCATCTCTCTCCGTCTAATCTCCTTCCTTATCTTCTCCCTCCCTTCTCCTTGGCGTCTCTGTTTCCCACCGTATTTTCCTTCTTTTCCCTCTATTTTGGCATCCATTCCCCCTTCCCTCTCCCCCCCTCTCCCTCCATTACTCGCTCCCGCTTTCTCCTCCTCTCCCTCCCTCTTTGAGAGAGAGAGAGAGAGAGAGAGAGAGAGAGAGAGAGAGAGAGAGAGAGAGAGAGAGAGAGAGAGAGAGAGAGAGAGAGAGAGAGAGAGAGAGAGAGAGAAGCGAAGAGAAGAGAAGAGAAAATAGGATAAGATAGATAAGAACAGAAAAGACAGATAAGAGAGAGAGAGAGAGAGGGAGAGAGAGAGAGAGAGGAGAGAGAGAGAGAGAGAGAGAGAGAGAGAGAGAGAGAGAGGAGAGAGAGAGAGAGAGAGAGGTTGAAGTTAGGAGGCGTGGGTGTGGATGAGGGTGTGAGTGGGGTGTGAGTGTTTGGGGGGTGAGGGAGGGGTGGGGGGTGAGCACGTCAACTCGCCTCTCATAAGTTGGCACGTTTAATTGCGAGAAAATGCTTGAAACGCAGAAATACATCGATGACTCATACGCCACGTATCCTTGCCAAAGAAGTAACCGCGAAGAGGAGGAAAATGAGGAAGGAGGGGAGGAGCGGGGAGGAAAATGAGGAGGGGAAAGGGGAGGAAAAGGAAGGGGGGCGAGGAATGAGGAGGGACGGGAGAGGAAAATGAGGGAAGGGGGGAGGAAAATGAGGAGGGGGAAAAGGGAGGAAAATGAGGAGGGAAGGGGAGGAAATTGAGGAGAGGGGAGAAGGGGGAGGAAATGAGGAGGGGAAGGAAAATGAGGAGGGGGGGGGAGGAAAATGAGGGGGGAGGGGGGAAGGGGGGAGGAAAATG